CATCTAATGAGTGGTCTCTGTGTTTCAAACAAAACAGGTGATAAGATTGTATTAATGGAATATCTTCAAATAAATTTAAAATATTTATAAATCACCTTGATTATCTATCACACTGAAGCCATTTTGATTACTGTCACAGCTTCAAATGCAATTTTAAAACTAGGTGATCAAGGAGGATTTTCACTGATCGTAGGCCCGAAAGGTCAAAAGATCTACATATTACAGAAACATTTTTAAAACATCTGGTTTTATATAACAAGTAAAAAACAAATGTACTCTTGTCATCTGCTAATAAAAGTTACCCAACAATTCAGCATCTGCATGTACTTCAGATTTGGAAAGAGAAAATGACAAAAAGTCTGAAGAAGCTACTAAACATACTTTCATGAGCCATTGGAAACAACTGGGTCTCTTCTCTCTGAATACATCCATATTTAGCAAACATTTTTTAGTAACATACAGCTGAAAATAGTTGTCTTGATTTCAGCTGGGATAGAGTTAATTTTATTCCTACTAGCTGGTACACTGCTGTGTTTTGGATTTAGTGTGCCGACAGTGTTGATAACACAGGGACGTTTTCATTACTGCTGAGCAGTGCGCTTAAGCTAAGTCAAAGGCTTTTTAGCTTCTCACACCACCCCACCTGCCAGTAGGCTGTGGGTGCACAATAAGCTGGGAGGGAGCATGGCCAGGACAGCTGACCCAAACTAGCCAAAGGAATATTCTATACCATGAAACATGCTCAGTATATAAACTGGGAAAGTGGGTTGGGGGGGCAGATCGCTGCCAGGCCACTGCTCAGCAGGTGGTGAGCAACTGCATTGTGCATCACTTGTCTTTTCTTGGGGTTTATTTCTTCTTTTAATTATATTGCTTTTCATTACAATTATTATTAAATTTTATTATTATTATATTTTATTTCAGTTATTAAGCCATTCTTATCTCAACCTACAAGTTTTACTTTTTTTTTTTCCTGATTCCCCTCCCCATCCCACTGCAGGGGGAAGGAGAGAGCAGGCATCTGGGGTTAAACCACAATAGTTTTACATGTTTTCATGTAGCAACAATGTGATTCCTTGCTACTCGTATAAGGCAAACAGTTTAAGCATGAAGTACTCAAGTATTTCATTAAGCATTACAGCTTTAGAAGTTACAGATACTTATTTGTATAATTAGGACAAATAATAATGGCTACTTTAATACTGAGATTACTGTAATCTCAGTAATTCTTTATAAATGTAATTCAGCATAATTCTTTTTATATACAGTTGTAGTCTATTTACTATGAGAATAACTGAAGGAGGGACAGAATGAATGCTGACTACTAGTTAAAAAAATAATTGATTGATCAAGAAACACATGTTAAAGCAATAACTAACTTTTGCAAAGTTGGATGCTCCATTTTGCATCTTTTCAAAGTAAGAGATGCAGGCAGATTGCTAAACACTGCATATTTATGAAAAACACATTAAATAGCAATTGTATATAAGAGAGTTATTCCACTCCAGCCCCATGATCTCTCTGAAAAAGTATGGGTTTTATTTTCCTGTGTGGACCTTCTGAAGTTAAGGAATTGCAAGGATTTCAGGACTGCAGTTAAGTAAAAAATCTGAAAATACACAAATTTTTAGCAACTACAAATTAGTGTTTTAAGAAGGACAAAAAACCCTGAAAATAAAAAGCCAAAACAAATCCCTGAGAAAGTTGATCTCAGGGTTACTGGAAAGGGATGCTGAACTTAAAGACTTTTTGAGAAGAAAGCAAAAGGAGACTGGGAACATGAAGGCATTATTCTCATCAGCAAACAAGTAATCCCTGAAAAACTTATGGAAAGTGAATCATTTGAGCAAAACATTTCTCAGGTAATTATATCCACTAAATATTTCTCCTGGTACTCTGGCTGTAGACAAGATAAAGTTCTACAGGAATTGTTGGGAGCATTTTATTTTTTCCAGATTTCAGTAATAAATAAGTGTCATAAACAATTAATCTGGCATCTCCTAGACTGGTCTGTATTTAAATTTTTCCAGCTCTTTAAAAGATCAGCATTTTGCATTTCCTTTTCTTCCCTACCCTATATTACAACAAAAATATACCTAGCAGCTAAATTCCTCTTTTTCAGATCATCTCCAAAAGTGGTAATGTGGTGAAATCCTCAGTGCTCTTTTCATACATATTTGTCATGTGATATGTTCTCATTGTATATTAATAGGAAGTCTTATTTCTTTGGAATAGAGAATCCAGTCAACCTACTTGTGTATGATTGTTGCCAGTTCTTCAACTGGAATTCCATTTAGAAGAATATCCATTTTGATAAGGTCTGCTGCCTGATATCCTGCATCTTCATAATCAAAACTAAACAAAAGGAGTTTAAAAATTAGTGATGATTTTGTAAAAATTATATTATGCATGCTTTCTCCATAAATTTTGTTTTAGAGACATTTATTAATAAAACACTCAAACTTTTTATTAAAATAAGAGCACAGTTTTTAATAGTCTCTCAGTATGTCTCCCTTATGCAAGGCTGGACTAGAAATTTGCTGCAGATAAATCTCTTTTCCAAAGCAGCAGAAGACATCATACTGTCTTCCAGCTACTGAGCAAGGTAAATCAAAAATCTACATTCTTAGTGCAATCTCTTAAAGAGTTTATTCAAACACTTCTATCTGGCTGGAAGTTCCTTAAAGCTCCAGGCTCTTCAACACAGCTTCTGAACAGTAAACATCCTTGATGTCACACAAATCAAACGCTGGACTGTTTTCTTTTCATCCTCTCATTTGACAGACTTTATATGACCCTTACTATCATTCTCTCTGACAATCAAGTTTTCCTCTTCATTTCCAAACCGTATTTCTCCCTTGCTAGGTATGGGCCTTGCCGTCTGTCAGTTTGCATAAATTCTTAAAATGGAGGAGACGCAGAGATAGATTTATTTTCTGTCTGTCTTGTCTGTCTCTTCTTGCCTCCCTATTTTTGCTTATGCTTCTATTTCAAATATACACAGACCCAGGCAGAACACATCTTACCTTATCTTTATAAGGAATATTTAAGAAAACACAAACTCAAACCAAATTCAGTCCTTCAATAAAATTCATTTTTTATGATTATAAAATGAATCATGTAATTAGGTATACCAATTCCTGTCAAAATCTACTATATCTTACTAACATTTCTATGTATCAGGTTTGTAAGAGCTATTGAGTCTCCTGTAGCATAAGCCCATCTACCATGCAACATTTTCCCTTCCATTAAACTCAGAAAGGCTCTTCACAAACAGATGAGCATTGTGCTACAGAATCCACCCACAACAGAACATTTTGTCTCAAAATACAGATGATTTACTTTATTTCAGTAATAAAGCATAAAAGTATAGTAAATGTTGTTTTAAATATAGCTTGTTAATTGTTTTTACTAGCTTTATGAATCAGTATTTTGTTATTTTCCCTTTTTCCATCAAGAGTCAAAACAGTAAGAAGTAAATTTTCAGTGATTCCTTTTGATAGAAAATACCCATTGTCACTTCAGACAAGTAAATACCATCTAGATCTTACTCATCTAGATGAGCAAGTGCCACTTTTTATGTCACACTTGAAAAGTACACACATCACCAAAGAAAATGGTTATAAGGTAGTGATGCACTTCTAGTGTTTTTCAGATGTACTGCCATCAATTTTCATAGTAAGTCTAACTCATTAAAGGTGAAGTTAGACTCAATTTGCAGCACCATCATAAAAGAATATGCTTCACTTGTGCTCTTCTATACCTTCTCCTCAGATCTTTTTTCGTTCCCCCCATCAGGGTACAGGGTAGGGCGAAGGGGAAAAGGATATAAAAGAGATAGTTACCTTGCATAACCAGAAGACAGAGACTTGAGAGCATCATAAAAATCCACCACAATTTCATTCAGTGGAAAGAGGTATTTTAATATAACCCTGTGTTCATCAATGTACAACATATCCTTCTGGACTGCTCTACGATCCTAGACAAATAAAAATTGTTTCAGTTCTTCTTGACAGAAGTTTTCTACAAATAAATAGAAACCAAATTTAAATAAACAGCTATCCAGTTACACAAAAGAACTTGTGCTTCAAGCCCCAAAGTAACTTTCTTATTGGTAGTTTGCTAGAGCCCCTGAACAAATCACAGCACCATCATAAATGAAGTGGTTGTAACTTAACTGGACAAATGATTCAAGTCTATCCTCTCCAAAATCTAGATTTCTGAAATCCTTAACAGCTTCTGCTTACTGCTGCCTTTAAAATGTGTAATTATTTGTTCATAAAATCTCACTGAAATTAGATTGTCACATAACTTGGAGTACTGCACAGTAGGACTCGCAGTCTCATCTTTCCTGCCAGGAGGGTGTTTTTGAAGTTATTTTAGGAATTCTTTTTAACAGACGTATGTCAGTACAGTGAACTATAACAAGTACTGTACTCTCCTGTATCATGTATATTGAAGTGTTAAAAGCTAAGACAAATATTGTAAGAAATTATATAAGGACAGTATGCATGGCAGTTAAAAACATTTTTAGTTAAAAGTATTCCAGATACACTTGGGGAAATGTGATTGGCCATCACTATCATAAATGTATTTCAGTGAAGGACTGAAAACATACATGAAGCCTCAGGAAAGCGTTGACAAAAGTTGTATTTCCATGAGTATACTTCTGAAAAACAACGTATGGCATTCCCCTGCTGGAGATTCCATTCTTTTGGTAAATAGAAGTAGCTATGTATGAATGCTTGACTAGGTACTTTACTGTCACTGAACTTCATCAGTAAATTTCACTACAAGGATTCTGTAGTTCCGAAGTAATTTTACACATAAGATGTTTAAATACTCTTGAAAGAAAAACTATTTTACTAATCACCAGAGATACTATTTACGTACTAATATCCAGTATCTATCTAGTATCTTCTCTTGAAGTATGATAGGAAGAGCTTAAAAATGCAAATGAAAACTATAGACCAACCTGACACAAAGTGATTATTTTCCCAATGTATTCCTGAGGTGTTACAATAGTACCAAGAACAGTTGGCTCTAAATATTCAGATACTGAAAGTTTATCAGGAAACTGAGCAGGGTTGATAATAGTAATCTCTGCTTTACCATACTCCTGAAAAAAAAACCCAAAAAAACAGATACCGTAATTTTATAAATAAGATGACTGAGTAGAAAAGGAGACAAAAACAGCATTGAAAAAGGCTAAAAAGTGTTTCAGTTGCTTGGAAACACTTGTCAATTATGTAACCCAATTTTATACCAAGCACAATTTTAACAGATTTCTATATCACATACAGAAATCCCTGATCAGCATATCTTTAAATATTATTATATAGAAAGTATAGGAATTATTTTCACTAGAAAAATGTTTTTTTAAGCATTTTATCCAGTGAACTTTAAAAGTGCTTAGAACTAGGACTACCACCTAGAGTTATCCATAGAAATAAAAAAAGCCTTTCTGTCCATTTGTCATCTCTCCCTTGCCTGTAGAGCATGCACCTTCCTTCTTACTCCATCCTGATCCTATAAGGTGTAAGGCACAGCTTCAACAAAAGACCTGCTCCAAGTATTCTGCAGTTTGGTGATGAGGAAATTGTTCTCTAAATAGAACTTAGGGTTCAAGCTCCCTTACAGGCCAAAGTGGGCCTGGAAATTTAAGTTTTCACTTCCTGTGCAAGTGCTTTCAAGTATTTCTTGTAGTCCAACATCCCAATAGGGCTGCAGTTATCCTTCTGAAGTAAGAATAAAAGGAAGGTCATGCTTTTTATCATGTACATACATTCTCCCACATACACCAAAGCAAGTGATGGTATCACGTCCACTGACAAGACAGTGTTCTTGAATAATGACTCAACTTCCAAGCACTGTTTGAAATCAGTGTCCCACATCAGCGATCCCCGCACCAAAGGTGTCAACTACTTCATTCATAGCTGCTACACTGCCTAAGGGAGAAACCAAAACAACTGGAGAGAAAAAGGGTCTATGCCTTACACCTTGCAAGTACAGCAACGTTCTTACACAAACTGTTTGGAATTTACAGATTTTCTGTAGTGTTTAGAGTTACATGTTAGATAATAATGAGCCAGGGTATTTGCAGCCTCCTTTCAGCAGGTGCTTGTAAGTTCACCTCTCACTCTCAAACTCAAGCAATTATTTTTTTGCACCCTTTTCAATAAAGTTTGCACATGCCTATTTCACTCTGATCAAAAACTCACTTGTCTTCACCAGCCCCTGCCAGCCTACAGCAGCATTACAAACTCTTTCTAAAAATGTTAATGTTTTCTGACTGGTAACACCTGGAAGATTATTGCCCCTGCTTTAAAGTCAGTCCAGTCAGTATGCACTTAACACAATACAGCAAGAAATGGGTCCTTTATGACCATTTTCAAGGACAGGTATAAGATGCAAAAAAGAAAAGTGCCTGAAATGGAAAGGGGAAGGGGGAGTTAACATTCTTTTTAAAAAAGTGCATTAAAAAAAGTTTTAAGTTAGATATTAGTGTTTCTAATGTTTACCACAAAATAAAGTACTAGTCAACATTAAAAAAAAAACAAACAACGTGTGGATGCTTATAGGAGGCTTTTAAGATGCTATTTACATAAAGCTGGATTAAATTTAACATACCTTTATCAGCTTTGCTGAGGAAAGAACAGCTTTATATGGAACTGTAGGTGCAGTTACAATAACAGACATGTTGTACTCTTGCTCGAGACGTTGATTAAAAACTTCCATATGTAAAAGACCAAGGAAACCCAACCTGGGAAAAAAAATATCCTGTTGGTTAAAGTATTTGTATATCCCCTAGAATTTCAGTGGGGTTTTTTCCCCCCATCCAGTATGTTTACACTGCTAGCCTGGCTATACCAGGCACAGCAAAGTCTCCAAATGGTCCTACAGTTGAACAGTATGAGTCTTTGAAAAAAAAAAACAAACTATCAATAGTAACAAATTGCATACTCTGTGTAAACAGAATATAAAAAAATTAAATGCTTTTAAGCTTTACCTATCATCACTTTGAATTAAAGATCCTAATCTTGAATTCATTTGAATTCAACCTTCAGTTGACTTAAACTTGCATTCTTAATTTATAAACCATTCCAAAAGTCTCACCTCCATCCAGCTCCTAAGGCAAGGCTGCTGTCACGATGAACAGTGACACTGGAGTCATTCAATGTCAGCCTTTCTAAAGCACTTTTGAGATTATTATATTCTGTTTGATCTACAGGATACATTCCTGTCAAAACATATTAGATAGAATTTATGTGATAAAGAGCTTTATTGGGTACTTAACTTTCAAACACACCTCTTACAGTGAACACTAATAAAATCAGAAATAGCTTACTTTCTGTTCCAACTTTAAAATGTGAGAAACAATATAAGGAATCTTTTTTTCAAAAAAATTAGTTAAAATGTAATAAAGTTTTAGCTTACCTCATAAAAACAGGAATATACATTCAAACCATAATGGCAGGGATACTGTACTCATCTAACCCCTCACAGTTGTGCAAGATAACCAGAAAACTGAGTATAACCAGTTTTCCAGGACTTCAGTGTAAACATATAGCTTAAGCATAACTGAATAAGCAGACAAATTTCACCAAGATATTCCTTCAAAGGTAAGAGTGACCGGCAAAAAAGAAAGTGCCACATCCAACAGAGTTTAAAATGTTTCTGTTTTTTTTTAAATGAATAAAAGCAGCTGTCTACATAATTGCTACCTGAAATCAATTCTACTGTATCACTTTTCACATTGCCATGTGTTCAGAAAATCTTGATTGCTCTACAAGAAGCCACACATGTGCATACAAATAGCAGTATTTACAGGATTACACTTCCCTACATTCACTGACCACCTAATTTCCATGAGACAGTTCAAGTGAGTTTTACATATTCCCTCACAACAAGTCTAGAAAGTGATTTCTAGAATGTATTTATTTCTAAAGCCATCTTCCATAGTACTTCTTGTAGTTACTGAAGCTGGTGGAAACAGCTCAACAGACCTTTATAAGCTTAAAAAGTCAAATATTTTACAGAATCATTCTGAGTATTATTAGCTTTGAGTTTACTATCTTTAAGGAAGAAAAAACAGCTGCTAATTTTTAAAAGAGAAAATCATAGTAATTACAGAAACCTGATTATCTAGAAGAATTGACAAAAGGTGACTTACTTCTTTAAAGCCTCAACCCTTCTCTTCCAGCTATCAAGAGTTTACTAGCATTAGAAACAGTAATTACAGCTAAACCCACAGTTTTGTATTCATATAAAACCACTCTGCAATGATTATTGTCTGTTAAATCACAGAAAATTACACAAAGATATAGAAATTACATGCCTCTAGCTTAACTTTCCTAAAATTCTAATCCTCATAACTCTTAATATACACATACATTCTTTTAAAAGCTTTAATAGCTCTCTTACTCTTGTTACTGGAAAGAAGTAATCCCACTTTATATCACTTTACTCCTCACCTGCAAAAACCATTGGCTTCGCTGACTTAAAGCCAGGCAAAGGCTCCACTGGCTGTTTATACAAAAACAGTGTGTCTCCTATTTGGGCTTCTGTCACTTCTTTCATTCCAGCAATCAGGTAGCCCACCTGTCCAGCATATCTAAATAAAATTGGCATTATATGGACATGTTTCTTGACATTATCAGTATTTCCACTACTTTTCCCAATTTACTCAGCTCAGTCAGAAATTCAAATAAAGGACTTCCCCCTAAAATCCTGTATGCTTCTCCTCTGGCTTGTGAATTTTGTCTCAAGGAACAAACTATCTGTCAACTCAAGTAGCTCTATTTCTGTTACTGTTAAATAGTACATTTATAGTTCTGGATTCTGAATTTTGTGCTATTCAGAACTGGAACTAGAGGGAAGTTCTCAGGGATCTAAGACAGAACCAGAACAGTTCCCAGCTGCCAGCATAGCAAACTTCATATACTAAGTGACAGAAGCAATGAAAGACAAATGACTTCCATCAACACATAATGATGTTAGGAGAGGAACCCATGATAGTTTAAGAGTAAAACACAGCATACTGTTTTTGTCTGGAACACAGTTAATTTCTGTCATAGCAGCCCTGTATAGTGCTGCATTTTAGACTTGTGACTAAAATGGTATTAAAAACATACCAATGTTTCAGCTATAGCTGAACAGTGCTTGCACAGCATGAATGCCTTCTGTCACTCTGCCCCCCCAGCAAATAGGCTAGAGGTCAGCAAGAGGCTGGGAGGTGACAAAGGCAGGGCAGAGGACCCAAACTGACCAAAGGGATATTCCATACTATACAGTATCATTCTTGGCAATAAAAACCAAGGAGTGTAGTCTTTCCAATGTGGCCATTACTTGTATACTATCAGGGCTTGTGAGAGGTAGTAACTGATTGCCTTTGCATTTTTTGGTTTTATTTCTATTCTTCTTCCTTCACATATGAAACTGTCTTTATCTCGACCCACAAGTCTTTCCTCACTTTTGCTCCTCCAATCTCTCCCTCATCCCACTGGGGCTGAGTGAGTGATCAAGTGGCTAGTTGGATGCTTTAGTTGCTGGCTGGGTTCAGCCCACCACACACAGTAACACAGACTCACTGAGAATCTCCCAAGAAAGTCATTAACACATACTTGGATGAAAACTGATAAAGCTTCTCTGATAATTCGAAGTACCTGATTTTCTTCCCACTGCTGCAATGAGGAGCCAGTTTCTGGACGCCGTTGCATTCATGGATTTTAAGCTTTCCACCCTCAAAATATGCTGCAGCAATAACTAAGATGAAGCCCCATTCCCTTCCACTCTCAAACAAGGTAGTGCCTAGATAATAAATTGGACAGCTGAATAAGAATATCAAATCCTAGTCTTAAAAAAACCTAGCTGTCCAGATGTTCCGTGTAGTACAGCTGATGCAACAGCTTCCTCCCGCTAGCAGTGCCCAAAAAAGCAGTCCCCAAAAGTTTTTGCCTCAGCACACCCAAAATGAAAAAGACTATTGAGCATTAAATTACAAATAACCATAGCAATCCCAACCACAAAGAAAAAGAACAAAAAACCCAGACATCTCTCAGTCTACCGCTCAAAGCAAAAAATCAAATGGAAATGCAGAATTTGCATCTTACACCAATTTACAATTTGTTCCACTGTAAGAAATTTTTTACTTACAACTTATGCGTTGGCTGTTCATTTGGAGTCAGAATTCCAACTTCATGAACTTCGTATCTTTTCTTTGTGTGCGCAGACACAACTTTATGCCCTTTCTGAATCTCCCCACCAAAGAGTGCAATGTTAGCTATAACACCTCGGTAGTGGTCAAAGGTGGAGTCAAATACTAAAGCTTTCAGTGGATCAGCAGTATTACACTGGGGTCTGTCACAAAAAAATTTAAAACAATATATTAAGCAGTGTGCTTTTCTTCTAATATTGAATGAGCAAGCACCCCCAACCCAAAACCTTTCATGAAAATCATAGAATACCAGGCTGGATCATCTGGTTCAACGTCTCTTGACAAAAGCATGATCTACACAAGATGGCCCAGCACCCTGTCCAGCTGAACCTTGAAAGTATCCAGTGTTGGGGAACCCATAACTTCCCTGGGGAGATTATTCCAGTGGCTGATTGTTCTCATCGTGAAAAGTTTTCCTTTTGTGTCTAGTTGGAATCGCCCCAGGGTTAACTTGTACCCATTACCCCTCATCATTTCCATGTGACTCCTTGTACAAATGGAGCCTTCACCTTCTTTGTAGTCACCCTTTAAATAGTGGAAGGTCTCTGCTAAGCCTTCTCTTCTCAAGGCTGAACAAACCAAATTCTTTCAACCTCTCCTCATCTGGCAGGCTTCACAGTCCTTTGATCATCTCTGTAGCCCTCCTCTGTACTGTCTCCAGCCCGTCCACATCTTTTTTGTATTGCAGGGACCAAAACTGAACACAATATTTCTGATACGGCCAGATAAACACTGAGCAGAGTGGGATAAGGACTTCTTTATCTCTGCTGGTGATGCCCTTTGTGGATGCAACCCAGCATCCTGTTGGCTTTCTGTGCTGCTGCAGCACACTGCTCACTTCACTCATATTGAGCTGCTTGTCCTCCAGGACACGCAGGTCCCTCTCCACAGAGCTGCTCTAGAGCCAGGTAGATGCACTCCTGGATTTCCCAGGTGCAAGACCTTACACTTGTCCTTGCTGCATTTCTTAAGGTCCTTGTTAGCTCACTCTTCCAGCGCATCCAGGTCTTCCTGCAGGTTGGCTCTCCCTTCCAAAGTGTCCACTTCCCCACTCACTTTGGTTTCGACAGCAAACTTCACCAGGGTACACGTGATCCCATCATTCAGATCACTTATGAAGATATCAAACAGCACTCGGCCCAATACCTATCCCTGGGGGACCCCACCTGTGGCAGGTTGCTGGTTTGCAAAGGAGCTACGTACCACCACCCTCTGGGTGTGGCCCGTCAGCCAGTTCCCCACTCACTGCTCAGACCACTCGTCTAGACCATAACGTACCAGTTTCTCTAGGAGGAAGCTGTGGGGAACCGTATCAAAAGCCTTGGAGAAATCCAGGTAGACAATGTCCACCACTCACCCACATCAACCAAACAGGTTATTTTGTCGTACAAGGCGATCAGGTTTGTCAAGCTGGATTTGCCCTTGGTGAATCTGTGCTGGCTTTTCCCAATCACATGCTTCAGCCCCCAGGAGGATTTGTTCCGTAACTTTCCCAGGGATTGAAGTAAGACTGAAGGGCCTATAATTTCCTGAAATGTCCTTTAAGACCTTCCTGTAGATAGGAGTGACATTAGCCTTCTTCCAGTCTTCTGGGACATTCCCCAGTCTCCACAACTTCACAAAGATTGTGAAGAAAAGATGGAGAGCAGCCTCGCAGTGAGGTCAGCCAGCTCCCTTAACATCCTGTGAGAGACTGAAGTGTCATATGACTGTCTCAAAGTTTGCTTGTATCTGTGCAAGCCTCCAAGACAAGCTGCTGCAGCTTGTGAATTGGTCTGGGGAATGCTGCCCAGGGAAGCAGGAGTGTATTGAAGGATGCATCCCCCCACTTCTCTGTGGTTGCATTGTTGGACTCTTTAGATAAGCCTCAAAGGGGCAGAGTGTACTGAGTTGGCCCCATCCTGTAGCCATCTGTGGCACTAATGTGTAGGCCAGACCCCATGGCTGCATTGCTAATGAACTGGTAAGAGGCAAACGCTCCTGCCCTGAAGCCAGATGCAACAAAACCTGTGGGACCAGAGAAAAAACCTGAAGGTGGGCAGATATGCTAATCAGCAGATGCTATGAAGTTAAAAAGGCAACAGAAACTTTGCTTTGTGTACATCCACCATCGAAGCCAGATCCATGTGCACCCACCACTGAAGAACTGAAGAATGAGGACCAATGGGGATGCTGCTGGATCCATGGTGGTGACTATTCTTGCAGCCCCATCCTGCATCCTTGCTTTACTTATGTCTTTTACTTCCCTTCTGTCCTATTGCTACCCCTCTTCACTTTTTTAATAATAAAAACCTGTTTGGGGTATACGGCATTTGTCCTAGTTTATGTCTTAATCTCGCTCTTGGAAACCTCCCCTGATATTGGATCTGGACACACCCTTGGGTGGATAATGTCAGGGCCCATCAATTTTCAGGGGTCAAGCTCCTGTAACAGTTCACATACTGACTCTTCCTCCACTGATGGTGGGTCCGTGTTTGCACCAACCTGGATTTTTGTTCCCACTGCCTGGGGCCAACAGTGACGGTAAAGACAGAAATGAAGAAACAGTCGAGAACCTCTGCCTCTTCAGCATTGTTGGTGACTAATTCACCTCTCCTTTTCAACAGCAGGCCAATGTTTTCCTTCTGCTTCTGAACAACTTATTATGTAGAAAATCTTTATATCTTATTTCCCCCATGTGCAAAAACGGTACAAACAGAACAAAACCAAATGCATATTTATCCTAGCCATTTCACAACAGGCAAAACCGATGCTTAAAGTGTTGTGCTATGGGTGACAACAAAAATTCAGCAATTACATTCCAAATCTAGGTTTTAAAGAAGTCAAGATATTTTGGTTTTGTCATCTTTCATGGAAACAAAATGTCAGATTTCCACTGCGGTTTCTTTTAACTATAATTATTAACTAATATGAGGACTCCAATTATTACCTAATAGTAGGGAAAAAGAATGAAAAGCAGTATCCTGACTGAAACTGAACTGTAATTTAGCAGCTTTGTCATCAAGTTCTTAGATAAAAGTCTATTTTAAAGGTTGGGTTCAGGATATGAAATTCTAAACACAGCAGATTTCAATTACCTTTATCATTTTAACAATGCAATGTTCAAAAGCACATAAACAGTGAGTTTCATGGAAGCTCTACAGTCATAAAAGTATTGCCTTTAGTGGCTCACCTCTCATCTTTCACTTCAGAAAACTTATTTTCCTTTCCCACTTCTTAAGAATAAAGACATCTTCTCTGCTGATATTCATACAATCATTTTTTAAAAGGCATCTCAAATCTGAAGTGTCATTTTTTTCTGATTTGCAATTTGAAACTGACTTAACCAGCTCCGACATTAGATTTCTCCCACATCTCTTTATAATACTGATGTTAAATCAGATTAATACTAAGTGCAAAACTATTGCCAATCCTGTAAAAATTCAATTTATGGTGTCCTAATTAACCTTACAATGTTTCATAATTAAATACAGACTTACGGTGGAATCTTCTCAATGACCTTTTGAAGAACTTTTTCAACATTTGTTCCTTGTTTAGCAGAAATCTAAAACAAGTCCAACAATAGTTTTGTAAGACATGTCTTATATACATTCAGTATCTATGAAATGGTGTCACGTTTACTTAAGACAGTTTTGGTGGCCACAGATAATACCACCCAGAAAAGCACTCTGAAGCACACTTTAGAATGCTATTACTATGAAATGCTTCTTTGATTATAAATTATTCTAAACCTTTTTCTTTTTTTTTTTTTTCCTCTCCTGAGTGGCAATTATTGTTATGGTAAAAATGAAAATTTATGCACTCACAATGAGAAATAATTTAAAATCTGATGCCATTCATCAAGACATACTAGAATTTTTAACTGAGAAGCATGTTCTCCATTATGCTTTTTCAGGAGACTGAAGAAATTCATGTATGTCAAAGACAGGCAGACAGATGGCACCCTGTTGATTTACTGTGTGTACATGTCTTTCATTAGCTACAAAGCAGATATAGTTAAACAATCAGCCATGTTATAAAACTTTAAGAGATCTTACCCTTACACATTCATCTACAGGGATATCAAAGAGCTTCTCTATTTGTTTTTCAACTCTTTCAGGGTCTGCATTCTTCAAGTCAATCTGAAAAACAACAAACTGCTAAATATACAGGCAATCACGTCTCACATATGATCCAGCACTGTAGCTTCCAAATATACAAAGTCAAGGAGCCTTTATGTATTTGTGAATAAATACTAAATGTCTTCAGGAAAAGATCTTTATCAGGATTCATTTTAGAAAAAAGTCTTCCTTGACTGACTTCAGGAAGGATCCCCTCTATAACTAGACTATTTTTTGTTTGTTTCATTAGGCAAAACACCTTTGTCCAAGAGATGGTGAAAATCTTTATTTTACAAAGTAATTTGAAAGCATAAGTGCTACCTATACTGTTTATAGAATCAAACATTAAATACAAAATAAATCTACAAAGAGCAATTAAGATGAGCAGTAACTAATCCTGTGAGTCCAATCATTAAACCCACAAAAATTGTATAAACTACAACATTTAGATTTCACTCAAAACTAAGACTTCACTTTTTAAATATGAAACTGCTACTCATGTAATCTCTGTGTATCAACATTAACAAAAGAAAAACATTAAAGCACATGGAGGAATATATCGATAATCACAGAAAGAATCTTTGAAGTTATTTTTGTAAAAAGCCACTTGAAGATTCACCAGAAAAAAAAAAAAAAAAAAAAAAAAAAAAAGAAGGAATTCCAGTGTTCATGAACTGGTGAATTTAAATTATGATGGGCTACAGGATCATTACATCTACCCCAAATTATCTAAATCCTTCCTCTCCACAGATAGAAGTCTTAAAAAAGTCAATTGAGAAGTGACACCAAAATTATACAAGTTAATACATTGCTAAGGCAACTGTAAACATACAAATACAATACAACTTAAATTCACACTGACAGCCTTCTAAATGCCTCAAATCCATGATTTTTAATTTGAAAACCATAGCAGTTAAAAGTCTGGCATTTCAAAAAGCTGCATCACAAACGGCCTGCAAGGCAGAGCACAGGTAGGTTAATCTGCACCTTTCTGGCCATTCAGGCCCAAATTAGAACCCCATGCAACACTACAGGCTTGGGGAGAAGTGGCTGGAAAGCTGCCCAGCAGAAAAGGACCTGGGAGTGTTGGTCAACAGCCAGCTGAGTATGAGCCAGCAGTGTGCCCAGGTGGCCAAGAAGGCCAATGGTATGCTGGCTTATATCAGAAATAGTACAGTCAGCAGGACTAGGGAAGTGACCATCCCCCTGTACTCAGCACTGGTGAGGCTGCACCTTGACTACTGTCAGTTTTGGGCCCCTCACTACAAGACAGACATTGAGGTGCTGGAGTGTGTCCAAAGGGCAACAAAGCTGGTGAAGGGTCTAGAGAACAAGTCTTATGAGGAGTGGCTGAGGGAACTGGGGTTGTTTAGCCTGGAAAAAAGGAGGCTTAGGGGAGATCTTATCACTCTCTACAACTACCTGAAAGGAGGTTGTAACAGTGGGTGTCAGTCTCTTCTCCCAGGTAACAAGCAATAGGATGAGAGGAATAGACTCAAACTGTACCAGGGAAGGTTTAGATTGGGTTATTAGGAAAAATTTCATTACTGAAAGAATTTATCAAGCACTGGAATGGGCTGCCCAGGGAAGTGGTGGTGTCACTTTCCTGGAAGTATTTAAAAGATGGTATATGTGGCACTTAGGCACATGATTTAGTGTTGGACTTAGCAGTGTTAGGCTAATGGTTGGGCTCAATCTTAAAGGTTTTTTCCAACCTAAATGATTCTGTGAAATTCCCATAGTGGCTAAACATTCTCATCAAGTCAATCTGAAACCCTGGAATGCCACAGCTTCAGCTTGTTCTCATTAGGAAAAAATATACAGTACTGAGTATTACCCAAGTGGCTTATTTGATTGCAAACTATAACTGGTTTACATTTCCTCATCAAGATATAATGTACACAATGCTTCTGAACTTGATTTACCATACAGACTCTAATAATAATTTTTCAGTGCTGCTTGTAAAATGCTTCTACATGTATTTTATGAAATAAACTGAATTCTCAGGAATTACTGTAAAATATTAAACAGACAGCAAATACACAAAGTTCTTATTACATTCTGGTTATTTTTTCATTATATACTTCTATTGAGAATGTATTTACCAATCTTCAACACATTTAAGCAACCCAACTATTTAAAAGGAAACTCTAAAACCTTTATTACCTTATTTATGACAGGAATTATTGCAAGCTGTGCTTCAAAAGCAAGATAGAAGTTTGCCACCGTCTGAGCCTGAATACCCTAGAAAATAAGCATTAAACGTTTAATATGGCATTTTCCTGAGTTTTGGTGTTTGGGGTGGTTGTTTTGTTGGGTTTTTTTGGTTCTGGATTTTTTTTTTTTTTCAGACATTCTATACGATTTAAGATTACTTTGCTGTTCTATCTTCACTTGCAGAATGGAAAACAGGTAAAGGTTTTTCATTATACACATTGCTGAGAAAGATAACATTCCCCGTTATCATTTCTCATAATCTGAATATAAGTAGATGAACTAATAATGCTGTATGTGTGATCACATACATAGAATTATTTATAGGTAACACAGTTTTATGTACATTATGCATCAAGTACTTATTTTTGTGTATGTGATTTATTTCTGAATAGCCAAGGTCATAACAGGTACCTTAAAAACCACATTCTTTGTCCACAAAAAGCTATTGAGAAATGGACTAAAACAAAGAAAAAGGGATGTTTATCATGGTAATAAGACTGCAGTTACTCTAGAGGGCAGGAACATACCTTGGACTTACCTTACAGTCATTTTCAAAAGAGAAAACAAATTATAAGTTGGTACTTCACATTTCTTTCAAAAGGATGGCAAAAGAGCAGCTCTGATTAGAAAAAAAAATGATCGCCTTCCAGATCCAAGTACCAGACAAGGGAAAACAGTGATAGAGATGCCAGTGAATGAGAGTATAAAGCCTAATACCACAATTGGACCAGAGAGTGAAGAAGGGGGAATGGGAGAAAAGAGGAGGGAAAAAAAGAAGCTGTTTGATGTCTTCTCCTTTGTTTACAATGATCAAGTAGAAAACTACTTATATGTGGATATTCACTGTAGATATATAGGCCTAACTTTTTAAGCAATATAAAGAAGCAGCAAAGAACATTTATCAGGAAAAAAAAAAAGTGAGACATAAGTCTTGAAAGCTACCTCCAGAATTCAGGCTGGCAGGAGAAACATTAGCAATTATAATAAAAAAGTTGAGTTTGTAAGCGTTCTGACTGAAAGGCAAATATAGAATACCAAATAGTCACATAATATTTACATGTGATGTCAAAAATTATAAACACATTAAATATAAAAAGATCACTGAAAGATCAATCAAGAACCTATTCATCTAGTGGATAGAAAACGATTCTCAAGTTTCCAGAATAAGTTTATGCACATTTGACTTATAGTGTCCTTTAGCTTTAATGTTGCCAGTACCAGTTTGTATTATAGACGATCAAGAGCACAAGAGCAATTAGTCATAACTAGTAGTCTAACAGTGTGGTTGGTTGAATGACCTGTCAAGCTTTCCAACAACAAACTGGAGGTATTCAAATAGGCATTAGTATAATAAAAGTTCTCCAGACTGTCACTTGCAAAGGTCATACTCTAAAAAACTAGGATCTGATTCTTCATTAATCCTGTGCCTTTATTGGTATGTCATGGAGCTGCAGTATCTATCAACACACAAGTATTTGTCTACATTTTTTTTTAAACTCCCATTACTCTCTCTCTACAGAAAAAGAGCTTTTATAGAAATAAAAGAGCTTTTACAGAGATAGACTAGGGGCAAAAACACTGATGGAAAATTAAAGAGATACCCCAAACTAATCATCTCTCTGGTTTGCTCAAAGAAATTACTGAAATCCTAAGTAGAAAACAAGAATTAAGAACTCCACCTGATTTGCATCCACTACAAGTAAGACACCTTGACAGGCAGAGAGCGACCGTGAAACTTCATAGCTGAAATCTACGTGGCCCTGTGGAGAAAATAAATGTTTACAATTTCAGGTATTTCTAGAGTCTTTTGCAAGGTTTTCTACATTAGGATGTTTTCATTTGTATATGTTCACAATTCTTACCAAAAAAAAAGAAACTGAATAAACAGAAGAAGTGAGAAATCTCCTACTTTTAAGCATAAAGACATTTAACTTTGTGTAATTTAAAAACTGTTTATACTTAACTTACTGGCGTGTCAATAAGATTCAAGAGGTAGTTGGCTCCTTCATGACTGTAAAAGAGAGATGCAGATTGTGCTTTAACTGTAATTCCTCTTTCACGTTCCACTTGCAGTTTATCCAACACTTGTTTATTATGATCAGTTTTAGCAATTGTTCCTAAGATTTAAAAAAAGTTTTATTACCTCATTTAGTACATTAGTTCTCAAAGTAAATAATTCTTGAAAATGCCATTAATCAAGAGAACATGGGATTTACAGCTGCAAATGAAGCTTTTCCATCTGATTAAGCTAAACTTAGATTTTAATTTAAAAAAACCGTTTCAACTCTTAACATTTGTTAAATAAATTTTTATATATAAAGTTATACAAAATACTTTCCTGAATAAGCAGGATACAAAATATCATACAATTCTAAGTGAGAGATTAAGAAATAGCAAAAAAACATTCTGTGCTAAATAATTTTGATGTTTAAAGAAACTTCGCCTCCTATCACTGGAGAACAGCTCCACGGCCCACAACTCCAACCAGTACCAATCTCAAGTGAAAAATCAGCATTATCACAGAGCTTGACAGACCTGAATTCACAGCTACAGTCTATCAGAGGCATCAGGTAAAACATGTTGCCCATAGTGACACAATGGAGGTAATCATTCAAGAGTAACTTTGATCAAAAGCTGCTTTCCCAGGTTTTGTTTTGCTTATCCCTTAAATGAGAAAAGCAAGACTTCCAAACGGCATTTCTGACTAGCTAAAGTAAGCTCTGAAATTAGTCTCATCACAGCAATAGCTTTCCAGCTTACCTTAGAGAACCCTCTAAGGCAACCTCTGTTTCTGCCAAGGCAAGCCTGGTTTCAGAGTCACTTATAGTTGCAAAGATCCCTTAGCATGTCTGTTTCTCACCTTCATTTTAAAGGCAGGTAGTTTTCCTTATCCTCAACAATACCAAAATAAGAACACTGAAGTCCAAGAGGCGCTCCATTAGGACAAAATAAGTACCTCTGAAGATGAAAGTAACACAACTTCACCAATACTTAGTGAAGGAAGCAAGTTTATATAGCAGCTGAGAATCCATGGAATTTACACCTAATTACTGGCAGTTATTGTACACACTAAATCTAAATCAACATAGGGCTGTACATTTCTAAAACTTACAAGACAGCACCATATCAGTTTCAGTATCAGTGAGCTCCACTCACCAAAGGCAGTTGTTTATGGTTTGCTCACAAGAGGACATACCATTACTGTCATCTAAGTACAAGAAGCTTAAGTTCCTCACTGTTTCAATAATGCTTTTGAAAACTACTCTGTCCAGAATTCCCAGGTCATGACAGTCCCTGCTTCTGTACACCCCAAACACTGGCAGTAAACATCATAAACTTGCTGTATACCAATCTAACAGACAATTGGTCAGGAGTGAGAGGAATAGCATCTTGAACAAGGAAGTACACTCCTTTTCAGTCTCTTTCTAAAGTACATACTTCCTTGAGTGAATTACATGCTTCCTTACCCCTACTTGTAAGCAGATCTCAGCCAGAAAGAAAGTCCATCATATTCACACCTGTAGCACTACACAACTGGCAACCTAAAAGCACAAGCAACCTGGCACTAGAAGAGTAAAGATATTAGAAATTTTAGTAATAAACAAAGCTAGAGAAACTTACACGTCATCTTACACGTCAAGGTAATATAGAACAAGAACACTTACCTGTAATTTCCAACAATCTGTCTGCTAGTGTACTTTTGCCATGATCTACGTGAGCTATAATACTGAAGTTTCTAATGCTTTCAACAGGATATGTCGACATATCTAATTTTTCCTGAAAAACAGAAATTTATTTGCATAAACCATGGTTACAGGCTCTACACACAGGATGACCTGGCCTTTAAAAAAAGAATTAGCTGTTTTCTCTAGAAGAGGCATAGGTTGAATAGAGATAGAAAAGCTTAAATTGACATTTGTGTTCAAAATGCTAGCATTTCACTTCAGTCATATATAGATATCTATTTATAACTCTGAATAATCAGTAAGTATGCTGGAAAGTGTTGTGAAAGGTACTATGTTCTTATGAATACAGGGAGTTGACAAACTCAAAGCAGTTTCAAGTATGCTCTAACTACTAAATTTAAGGATTAAGAAAACTGGATTCAGGGGACCATTAAGGACATCATTCTTCACAAGCATGATAAGAACACAGCAACATTACCTAGTAGCCCAGGTAGCAGTTACGTTATCATAAGAAGCAAGCAGATTTTGTGGGAAAGGAAGCTACAGATAACACTTAACTGAATTTAACACTACAGAAAACCAGCCTGACTTCCTTGGTTCACACACAGAAACGTCGAACACTACTAAAAAAATTTTCTTTGTGATATTCTCAAGTAATACGGCATTTTGAAGGAAAGTGGCTTATTTGCTTTTCAAAGCTTTCTGCATCAGGAACTAGGAGAGGCCCTAACAGCAGTCTACGCTACTGAAAAACGCTGCTCGCCGCTGTCAGAGGTACCCAAAGCTCATCTCCCTCACACGGGCTATGCATGCAGCTCCGGGCCAGGCACAGAAGCAAGCCCCGCGTTCTTTGCTACCACAACGCAGAGCACTGCAGGGTGCCCCGGCTTGGAACGGCAGTTCCCACTGCCGCGGGGACCCAAACGCCCCTGCAGCGGGACGCACGCACGCCGGGGTGACACCGCCTGCCCGGAACGGCCCCCTCCCACGCGCAGGAC